TAACTCACTTATTGAGCTATTATAAATACTGTCTGTGATTCTTTATTTCTCTCCCTTCTTATTCTTCCTCCTCCATTCTTCATATGTTGGGTGTTTTGTTCTGTGCTCTTTTTAGGAGCTCTCCCATCTAGAGCAGTCCCTCTAAGATACCCTGTAGAGGTGGTTTGTGGGAGGCCTATTCCCTCAACTTTTGCTTGTCTCGGAATTTTTTAATTCCTCCTTCATATTTAAATGATAATCATGCTGGATACAGTATTCTTGGTTCAAGTCCCTTCTGTTTCATTGCATTAACTGTAGCATGCCATTCTCTTCTGGCCTGTAAGGTTTCTGTTGAGAAGTCTGATGATAGCCTGATGGGTTTTCCTTTTTTAGGTGACCTTTTTTTTCTCTCTGGCTGCCTTTATACTCTGTCCTTGTCCTTGATCTTTGCCATTTTAATTATTTTGTGTCTTGGTGTTGCCTTCCTTGTGTCCCTTGTCATGGGAGTTCTGTGTGCTTCTGTGGTCTAAGAGGCCATTTCTTCCACCATTTTGGGGAAGTTTTCAGCAATTATTTCTTCAAAGACACTTTCTATCCCTTTTTCTCTCTCTTCTTCTCCTGGTACTCCTATAATGTGGATATTGTTCCTTTTCGATTGGTCACACAGTTCTTTTAATATTCTTTCATTCCTGGAGATCCTTTTATCTCTCTCTGCATCAGCTTCTCTGCATTCCTGGTCTCTGATTTCTAGTCTATTAATGGTCTCTGGTACCTTGTCCATTCTGCTTTGAAGTCCTTCCAGAGATTGTTTTATTTCTGTGTTCTCCCTCCTTAGCTCTTGCATATTTCTCTGCAAGTCCATCAGCATGGTTATGACTTTTATTTTGAATTCTTTTTCAGGAAGATTGGTTAAATCTATCTCACCAGATTTCTTCTCAGGGGAGGATGTGGAGGATGTCTGGGTTAGTCTGGTCCTTATCACATTTTTCTGCCTTTTCATGTTGATAGCTGCAGTGGTATGCTGTTGACTGGTCTGTCAGCTGGGAGAACCAAGACCCTTTCCACTTCCTTCTGGCCTTTCTTTCCTGGGACAATGGCGACCCCTAGTGGCTTGTGTTGGGCCGTTGGGTGTAGACTGGGTCTCTGTTTCTTGCCCTCCCCTATGGAGGAAGCTCCCTTGCTGTGGGCGTGGCCAGCCTCAGACTGCTGCTCTGCTATGGCGGTGCCGCACCGGAGGGGGAATGGGCGGGGGGCTGTTTATTGCCGTGACGGGTCTTAGAGCTGCACTGCTGCCCAGGTGGTTAGGGCTCCCGGAGTTTCTTGGGATTCCCAGCTGCTGGGCTAAGTGTCCCGGGATGCTTCCATCCAGCTGTGGGGTCCCTGTCCCTTTAAGACTTTCAAAAAGCACTCACTTTTCTTTGTCCCAGGGTTGCCAGCTGCAGGGACCTGCTTGCAGGTTTTACTATTCCATTTCGCTAGTTTCCCGCACTCCTCTCATTGTGTGTCTGCACTCTGGGTGCAGATGGCTAGGGCTGGATATTTAGCAATCCTGGGCTCCCTCTCCCTCCCTGCTCCGACTCCTCTCCTCCCACTGGGAGGTGGGGTGACGGGTGATCGGGTCCCACCGGGCCAGGGCTTGTATCTTACCCCCTTTGCGAGGCGCTGGGTTTTCACAGGTGTGGATGTAGTCTTGCTGTTGTCCTATGTCTTCTGTTCTGTCTTTTAAGGATAGCTGTGTTTGTTGTATTTTCAAAAATATATGTTTTTGGGAGGAGATTCCCACTGTCCCACTCACGCCGCCATCTTGGCTCCGCCTCTGTCCTACTCTTTTCTAAGAACCTCCTCTCCTCACAGTCTTTCCGCCTTGTCCCTCTCATTCCTGTCCCACCTCATGTCTATCTCCAGGCCACAGAAGATCAAATGCGACTCCTCCGACTGCAGCGACGCCTAGAAGATGAGCTGGGGGACCAGTTCCTCGATCTGTCTCTACATGACACAGTCACCACCCTCATCCTGGGTGGCCACAACAAGCGTGCGGAGCAACTGGCACGTGATTTCCGTATCCCTGACAAGAGGTAGGTGAGGGCCTGGGTTGCATGTAGTCCTAGGACCACCTACTTCTGCAAAACCTCCAAGCCCAGGTTTCCCACAGGCTCTGGTGGCTGAAGCTGACTGCCCTGGCAGAACTGGAAGACTGGGAGGAGCTAGAGAAGTTTTCTAAGAGCAAGAAATCACCCATTGGCTACCTGGTGAGGCCTTCCTCTTCCCCCACCTCCAGGGAGAGTAGTCCTGAGGAGAGGACCCAGCTCAGAGATAGGCAGATGGCCCACTCAGCTCATGCATCTGTCCAGCCATCCTGCATACTTAGTGGGTGTGTCCTGTGTATGCTCATTTATAAGCCAGGTACATGCAAGAATGGGCCTAGCCTGCATGCAGATGTGGGGCAGGGGAGAAAGCTGCTTTCCCCGCACCATATGCCTAAGGGAAAGTATTGCCTGAATGGGCGGTGGAGGGAGCCGGGGAGGGCATATCTGCAAGGCAAAGGAGGATACTGAGGGGGTCTCTGTGGCCGTGGTTCAGGGATGTGGTGGGTAGGTGGGATAAGGGCATGTATGAGAGAAACACAGGCCCTGAGAGAGCAAGGAACTCCTGTTGTAAAGGAGTAGCAGCAGATGGTGGGGTGGGTATTTGGAAATAATTGGTCTCAAGGCTCTTACAGACTTTAGGTTTAGGTCATTTGTGCCCTGTGAATGTTGAGATCACAACTGTTGTCTGTGTGTTGGGGCAGGGAATGGGGTGGAATCACATGTACTTAGGGTATATAAAAAATACATAGTGACAATGAATCCATTGGGCTTTTGCTCGTAAGAGAGGACAGGAGGGTTCTTCCTTACCTTCCCTCTCCACCACTCCTTCTCCTAAGCCTTTTGTGGAGATCTGCATGAAACAACAGAACAAATATGAGGCCAAGAAGTATGCCTCCCGCGTGGGTCCTGAGCAGAAGGTCAAGGCCTTGCTTCTCGTTGGGTGCGTCAGTCTGAGAGCCCTGTGGGTGCTGTGTGGCTGAGCCAGTGGAATGATTAGGGGCATGTTTTGTGCTCTCGGGCAGCCTGACATCATCTCCCCCTCTGCTCAAACCACAGGGATGTGGCTCAGGCTGCAGATGTGGCCATTGAGCACCGGAATGAAGCAGAGCTGAGCCTTGTACTGTCCCACTGCACTGGAACCACAGATGGGCCCACGGTTGATAAGATTCAGCGGGCCAGGGCACAAGCCCAGAAGAAGTGAGGGGCATACCCTGCACATCTCCCGAAGCCCTTGGCTTGACAGAAGTGTCACTGCTCATCCAGCTCCTCCTGCAGAGCTAAGCCTAGGAGCTGGTGTGGGGTGGGATCTGGGGTCTGGTTGTAAATAAAATTGGAACTTTGTAGAGTGCTTGTCTTACGCTGTTCAGCTAAGTGAAGGCAAGCTGGGTCATTCCAGAGACTTAAGCGGAACTGGATATGTGTGATTATACTGGGGCTAGAGAAGGAGCTTCTCAGTGACATTTACAAGAGACTTACCCTCTCCACAGTTACCAAGGAAAGGCCTCTCAAACTCAGAGCCCCTCGGAAGATTATGGGAAGAGATGGCACAAAACTTAAAGCACCAACCCATCAAGAGTCACACTGAAAAGCATTATACGCACAAAAACTATGTTGAACACTTTACCTTTGATATTTATTCCATATGACAGCCCTGTGAGGTAAGTAACATCACCCCATTTAAAAGTAAGGGAAATTGAAGATAGGGGAAATTTGGTACCAGTGAGTATACGGCAAAACTGGGAATTGAAACCAGGATGGCATCTGGGGGTCTCAGGGCATCTCCATGGCTTTTGTGACTGAGAAGGGATGATCTCTGAGCCAGAACTGAAGTCTGGGCAGAGGATTCCAAGGCAAGGCCCCCAGTGTATGCTACAGTGAGGGTGGGGTGTGGCCAGAGGGCTGGAGGGGTTGGACGGGAACCTTCAGAAATCCTGTGCACTGAACAGTGGTTAGTAAGTCCTGAGTAGGCTCTGGGCTGAAGAGAAGAGGATGGAAGATCGCAATTCTGCCAAAGTAAACTGCAAACAAGAGACCCCTGGCTCTATCCTCCCCCCAGTGGAGGCTTCACTCCAGCCAGCCTTCCTTGCCTCCAGTCTCCCATGGTTAGCCTTTCATTTGTAGTCCAGTGCACCTTGGCTTCATGCCCAGCTCCCCACCCAACACTGAGGGGATTACCTTTTCCTTTTGTTGCCTCCTTAGTCCAGAAGGAGGACAGAGGAGGAAACCCAAACCCAGATGGAGGGTAGGCCTCACTGGAGCTTCTGGCTTTTGCCACTTTAGTGCCCCTAGGGTTGCCAATGCTTGAAAAGAGAGACTTGGGGCCTGGTAAGGTGTCTGTCTTCCTCCACCTGATTTGTAAATGAAGTATGAAAATCCTTTAAGGATGTAAATCAAATTGTAATGCAACCATTTATTGTGCTCATCACATATTACATGGGTAAATCACAAGTTAAAATGGTGGTTTGTCTCTTTTCTGTAGTATCTGGGGGTGACTTGACACCTGAGGGCTGAAGTCATCTGAAGGCTGGGTAACTCAACGAGTCTGACAGTTGAAGTTGGTTGTTTACTAGTGCCTTTGCTGGAGCTGTTGGCCAGAACCTACAACCCGTGGTGCCTCACAACATGGCATTCAGGTCTTAAAGATAAGTGACAGGGTTGAAAAGTACAGTGTAGGAAATATAGTCAATAATACTCTAATAATATATGATGACAGCTGATATACTTATTGTGGTATTTTGTAGTATATATATAATTGTTGAATCCCTATGGTTTACACCCAAAACCAATATAATACTGAATATCAACTATACTTTAGTTCAAAAGAAGGATTCTCAATACTGGGCTCATTATTCTGGGCATTTTTCCTCCCTAGTCTTGGCCCCACAATTCCTCACAGCCCTGGTAGTTCTATAGTGGCTTTTAAAAATGTTTTCTTCACCTTTTCTAGTCCTCAGTGAAAAAGAGTTGGTACCATACAACTCAGTCTACCCTCTCTGGGAGGGGGGCACCGTGCAATGCTTTCAGAATGTTACAATAAAAGCCTGTCTCCCCAAAGGAACATAGAGCATATTACTCATGTGATAGGCAAACGTTAAATAATGTACACATGAAGTTTTAGGAACATATTAGAACAACAAAGACATTCAAATGTAGTGATTCCTAATTCATAAAGAGTGGATGCATGTGGAGAAGTGCTGAAATTGTCCATAGGGAGAGTTGTTTGGAAATTAAAGGCAGCTTTGTATAATTTTTGAAAGTTGAACACTGATTTTTTTCCTCCAACATTTTATCATGAAAACTTAAAACATACCACTGAGTTGAAAGAATTTTACAATGAACATCTTATATACCCACCACCTGGATTCTACCATTTTACTATACCTACTTTATCATACATCTAGTTATCTATCCCTTAATCTACCTTATTTCTGATAGTCATTTATATACTCCCTCTAAATACTTCAGAATGTATTTTGTCATACTGAGTTCATTGTTTGCAGTTTTTTTCTTTTCAGACAAAATACAATGATCAGATCTTAAGTGTATATTTGCTGAGTTTTGACAAATGCATGCACTTATAAATAGTGATATTTTAAAAACAACTAGGATTTTTTTTCAAATCTTTGCTCAGTTGAAATTAGTGTAAAATGACTTATATCTGAGTGATTTGCATGGCAGGCCTGAGTCTACAGTTATAGGTGAGGCCAAGTCCTGACCAGTGGATGGGGCTAGGATTGGGCCTGGGACCAAGAATTTTAGACTGGGGGCAGAGAATTTGTAAACATTTCTTCTGGTTTAGGATATCAATGGCAGCTCTGGAGCAAGAGTCAGGACAAAGGCTCCTCCTAAAGCTACCTTCTCAGGGTAAGGGGCTGCACTCTCTTTAAGGTACAAGGACTTGGCAAATGACCTTTGGGAATAGAACAGTGGCCTGGAAAAGCACTTGGCTCTCACTCAATTTTACATCTTATTGCATTGCTTTATTTCATTTCAGCATTTAGGAGATTTTCTTGTTCAGTTGTTTGCTTATTGTCTGTCTGCCACACAGAATGTAAGCTCCTGAGAGCAGAGAGCTCTTCTGTCTTATTCCTTGTTGTGTTCAGCACAGGTCTGTATTCAGTAAGTATTTGTTGGAGTGAATGACTCAATTTTTCCATTTACTAGATGGGGAATGGAGTCCTGGAAAGGGGAAGTGACTTGCCTAAAGTAACAGGAGTCCTTTAGCCCCGTCCTCTAGCTCTTCTTCTAGTCTGGTCTTTTTCTCACAAGATATGTGGCTCTTAGGGTACCTGTTGGGTGGCTAGCATGTGCTTGCCCATAGTGTTTGCTTCTGTGGGCTGGCAGTAGAGCAAGACTGGGAGCAGGGCTTTGGCCTCCCACTTGGGTGGGACTGTACTAGAAGCCTGCCTCCTCCCCCTTTCTCAGTAATCCCTTATCCTTCCTTTTCAAAGACAGCTCTTTGCCCCTGGGGTGATAAGGTGAAGCTGTGGACCCCAACCCCCACCACCAGGGTATCAGGTAAGATGGGGAGGCTGGGCAGGTCTCCAGAGGTAGGCAACTGAGGATGGGACTCTGTCCTCTCCCACTGTCAACAGGGTCTGTGTGGTTTTCCAGCTAACTCTTCCAAGAGTCTCCAAGATAGGATATGCAAGACTTTCCCTTGGTCTGAGGTTCCGTTCAGACACACCACAAATGCTTTAACCACAGTGCAGCTGTTTCACGAAGAGAAGGAAATGCATTTCCTGAGAGTGGGTTACTTGCCAAGCTGTACATGCTTATAGTTCTCAGTACAAGCCTGGGAGGTTCCAGGAACAGTAGCAGAGGGAGACTCAGGTCACCCAGCCAATGGCGGGACTTGATTCCTAGGGCTGTCTGATTCCCACACCCAACAGCAGCATTTTCCCAAATGTGGTCAGTCAGATTGGTACAGCCTTCAGATGCTCGCAAGGATGGGTACTCTTTCTTTATTTTTTAAAATTTTTTTATTAAGATATGATTTATACACACTCTTATTGAGATTTCACATGAAGAAACAATGTGGTTACTACATTTACCAATAGTATCGAGTTCCCACCCATACCCCAATGCAGTCACTGTCCATCAGTGCAGCAAGATACCAGAGATCCACTATGTCCCTTCTCTGTGATACACGGTTCTCCCTGTGATCCCCCACACCATGTGTACTAAACATAATACCCCTCAGTCCCCTTCTCCTTCCCTCCCCACCCGCCCTCCCACACCCCTCCCCTTTGGTAACCACTAGTTCATTCTTGGAGTCTCTGAGTCTGCTGCCATTTTGTTCCTTCAGTTTTGCTTCATTGTTATACTCCACAAATGAGGGAAATCATTTGGCATTTGTCTTTCTCCATCTGGCTTATTTCACTGAGCACAATGTCCTCCAGCTCAGATGGGTACTTTTTCCAATAGCTATTTATTTTAACATGTTAGAAAATGTAAGTAGCATGTCAACGCTTTTATGGTAATGTAAATAAAAGTATAAATGAAAAAGCAACCAAAAGAAACGTAAAGAAATAATAGCGTAGATCAGATAGATGTAGAGAAGGCAAAGCAAGCTAGGGTTTGGTGCCTGCCTGCCGGCTCCTCTGGCTGCCCAGGTACCTCCTGAACTCCCACTCATTAACCTTCAGGGTTTCCAAACACTTTCAGTTCAGACTTTTCACTTTACCATTTGGTGTGCGGATACACTGAATTTGGACTCCCTGGGACACAGGAAAGGTGGGCATGTGGAAGAACCTGCCCTCATTGGCTGTCCGGGGTCTACCAAGAGACTGGTCATGTGGCCACTGGGTCTTTGGGCTGGAGCGTCAATACGGGAGAGGTGCTTTGGGTTTAGCCATTTCAGGACACCTCTGGGCTGGTCCCGTTAAGATGGAGTGAGAGAGGCCCAGCTCCCCCTAGAGAAGGGACTTCCTTGCTGGGGAGGAATGGCCTGAGGTCCACCACACCTGTATTCCCAGGCCGTGGTACATACACTCACATTCACTCACTTATTCCACAAACACGGTGGAGGGGAAGTGCGTAGAGTCCTAAGCTGGTGTCCCAGCTGCAGCGGGTGGTGGGGACTGGAGGTGGTAGGCGCACCAGCCCGGGTAAACTGCAGGTGATGTGGGCTCCTTCTCTGGCGCCAAAAGGTCCCCACTGCACCTTTCCCGCCATGAAGAGTTGTTGCTGGTCACATACCGTTCCCCTGGGGCGCGCCGAACTTGGGAGTCTGTCTGCCGTGGAGGTAGGAGAGAGGAGCTCAGAGGCTAATGGACCTGCCACTCTCTCCAGGGAGCGCAGAATTTGGGGCTGGCATTGAAGGGCCAGCAAGCTCTGCTTAACCCTGTTGCGCAACGTCTCCAGCCTACAGACTCCCAAACACTCGACCGGCGCGGGTTCCTGCGCGCCCGAGGGACCTCGCGTGGGGGCCCTAACCAGGAGATTGTCTCCCCGACATTCACCACGACTGTGTGCCGCAGACGCCCGGGTCCTGGAGCCCGGGAATCCGCTGACCCGGACATATGGACAGATGGCTTTCGGATGCGCACCTAGGGCGGAGGCGCTGGATAAGACGTCCGCGGACGCAGCACGGTCCCAGTCCCCAGCGGGGGGTTGGGAACTGCGCATCTCCGGGTCCTCTCTGCTCTTTGAATCTCCCCTTCCTCGCCAGGCCACTAGCAAACAACTCCCCCACCGCAGAGGACCATGTTTTGTGTTTCTTTCTCCCCGGCTCCGTGGCTTCAGGTCCCGGTACGCACGTCTGGAAAGCGGCAGATTTCCCTGAAGCTCGGGAGGGGATGGCGTGGGCTCAGTCGATGTCACATGACACCCACGGTGCCAGGTCCTGTCTAAGGGATTTGCAGATTCCTCTCTCTCCGCCGAGAGCCCTCGTCTTTTAAATATATTCCTGCACTTAGAAAAATAAAAAATGAACAAGTAAATTAAAAAATCCGAATGGAACACGTTTAGAGAGAGCAGCGCAAAGAATGCTTTTGGGTTCCAGGTTGCCCTGGTCGCTAGATCATTTGTAACTGGTATTTGGCCTCAGTGTTCACCATCTGTAAACTGGGAAGAAGGCCCACAACCATGGCGCTGGGACTGTAGAGAGGCGGATGGCGTTGGGGCACGGGCGGCTGGTGCTCCTGGGGTCCTGCCTCCCCGAGCACCTGGATGCGGTGAGGCGCACACCGCCCACCGCAAGCCTGAGAGCTTGAGACCCGGCAAAGCGCCCCAGCCCGCAGAGCGAGCGACCGGAGGCGCGCAAGGGCGGGGCCCGCGGGAGCGGGGAGACTCTCTTTCTGTGTGGGCCAACCAGCGCCCATCTCTGAATGGCCAATGAGGAAGCGCTTTACAGCCAAGGCCGGGTCGGGAGCGAGGCTCCGGCGAGTACACCACTGACAGAGACGCGCGCGCGCTCGCGCTCGCGAGCCAGCTCGGACCCGGGCAGCCGCCGCCGCCGCCATCACCGCTGCCCGTCCAGTCGCCCCTCAGCCGCTTCCCCTCGTCATGGAGGCGAGGCCGCCGCCGCCGCCGCGAAGCTCCGAGCCGCGGGCCGGGCGGCGGCCCTGAGAGCGTGTGGCGGGCCGAGACACCGCCGCGGAACCGAGGCGGAGCCGCGTCCTCGTCCCCAGCGGTCCCGCCCAAAGCCGGACTCGGTGAGTGTTCGCGGCGGCCGCCGCCCGGGTGAGCCCTAGAAAGGGAGGGCGGCTCCCGGGCGCGGGTGGGAGGGGTCCCCGGCGCGAGCCCAAATCCCTCTTTTCTGGGTAGAATCCATCCGGCGTCTCCAGTCGGGTCCCACATCCTTGCGCTGTCCGTGGGGGGGTCCCTGGAAACGTGCGGGACGCCGACCCCTGTGAGTGCCCGGGAACTTTGCGTGCGTCCTCCTGGGTCCAGGCCAGGGCGCTGCCGTAGTTCATTCTGAAAGAAGAAACTCGGAACAGTGAGAACAAAATTTGCCCAGGCCCATTTAATGGGAAGAAAGAGAAAAACTCCTGGAATGAGAAAATCTGCTATTGCGGAGACCAACTTTTCTTTCCCTTAAAGCCCCCCTACCTCTTCCCCGAGGCCCCTGTCTTTTCCGCCCCCTTCCAACTGTTGAAGCTGCTTAAGAAGGGAAATAGAGGCTCGGAGCTGCCCAGAATTCAAAATGAGCCAGTTGGGAGTGCAGATCCCCTCCCTTTTTACTTTTGGTAAATAAAATAAAGAATATCGTGTTTTGAAAAATTAGTTCCTAATTGTATTTCCTGAAGATAAAAATAATAATGGCAGAGCTGAGCCCAGTGTTGAGAGATTTTTTTTGTTGTTGTTTGTTTAAGGTCAGTGATGTTTGTAAGACAGGAAAAAAGGAATGTTCGAAATCTCCTAGGGCAGGGTAAATGCCTTCAGAATCCTTTGTCCAGGGTAGGGATTCCTGCCCTAGAACCAGTCACAGCTCCCTAAAGCTTTCTACACTTGCCACCTGCTTGCTGTTCAGGCAGCCCTATAACCAGAAGATGGTGGGCATGGAGACGGGTGCGGAGAGGACTGATGGAAGATGGGCGAACATCTTCCTGCCTGGCCACTCCTTCAAAAAACACAGATCTGATGCTGTCACTTGTTTACTTAAAAACTCCCCGCTCTTTTTCCCATGGGATGAACGAAGCCCAACAAAATGCCTTATCTAGCCATACAGGCTCTTTATAGTCTTACCTCAATTTTAAAACTTTTAACCCAGTCCTTCCATTCTCCTCCTCATCCCTAGCCATTCAGAGCTTCTTGACTGCCTCTTCGCTGTCAGATGCTTGTGTAACTCACTTTCCTCCACACCTTTACCTACTAAGCTCTACCTCTTCCTTTAAAGCCCTTTTCATTTGGGAAGTGTCTTGAGGGCAGAAGCTGTGTCTTGTTTACTTTGCCATCTCTCACCTGAGACAATTCTTCGAATTGTCTTGAAGGTCCTGTCCCATTTTCCCCCTTATGTCTCAGCTTTGTTTACTTCCAGGTGCACATTTCCTGAGAGAAGTGCATGCCTAGGACTTTTATCTCTCTGATTCTCCAGTTCCCCATGTCTAGCCCTAATTATTGGTCAGCAGGCAAGAAATAGCAGGTCACATCCTTCTGGCTTCCAGTCATCTTGCCTGTCTCTAAAGGCCAAAATCCCCATGGTCTCTTTTCACTTCTGCCTGCCTCAAGTGGCCTGCTGCTATGTGCACTCTAAGGCATGGTGGGATCCAGGAGGCTGTTCACTAGGTAGGTACATTTTAGCCACTTGTTTACCATCTGGATGAAATTCAGTACCAGAAGAGCCAATCCTCTGACTTACGTACATTCAAGTAAGTACCTTCTGTATGCAGGCAAAGTGCTTGGGATACAAAAGAAAAGTAAGAAGATCAAATCTTTACCTTTGAGGAACTCATAGTCCAATGTAGGACAGGTGGATACAAATGCATGCAGGTGCTATGAGTGTGATAATAGCTATTCTGTTATCTTTTATTTGTCTTATGACAGGCTATGAAATAAATGCTTTCCACAAATTATCTTATTTAATCCAATAAGGGCTTATTCCAACTTCACAAAGGTGGAAACTGAGGCAGATGACAGAGCATCTGCCAGATTGTATAGAAAGCTTTCCTCCCTGGGTTGTCTGAGAAAGCTGTCCTGGGAGGGGGCCTTTGGATTATGAAGGATGCATAGGAGTTTGGGTATAGTGAATAGGATACAGCAAAGAGAGGGCTGCACAAGCAGGCTTGGAAGTGGAAGGAAGCCACTGCCCTTGCAGAACAGCAAGAGGTTAAATATAGTTGGATTGGGTAGAGGGAAGAAGAGTGGGGCATGAGATTAGGGTGAGCTTGAAGGGCTGTATGTGCTGTGTTAGAGTTGGGGCAGTGGAGAGCCGCTGGAGGATTTTAAGGGCAGTCAGGGAATTTGGCTGACTGGCCTTTGGAAAGGGTCATTCGGGAGTAGTGTGAGGCCAGCTGTTGATGCCCCAGCAATTTCAGAAGCAATGGACAGGCCCCACAGAGGTGGAATTACAGCCTCTCAGACCCAGAGGGAGGCCTAGAGAGAATCCTGCTCAGTTTGGGTTAAAGATAATACATATATACATATGAGAAAAAATTTCAGCATTATAAAAGGGTATATAGAGAAAAGTAAGTCTCCCTTCTACCCCTACCTCCCCAGAGATGGCTGAAGTTTCCAGTTTCTGTGGCCTTACATATACACTTTTCCTTTGTAAACTTGTGTACCTATCCATTTCCCCATACCCCTACCCCTTGTGTTGTATATACCAGTTACATCTTGTTCTTTACTTAATATATTTAAGAAATTATTCCATGTTAGTACATATAGAGCTGTTCATTCTTTTTATTGACAGTCTTCTACTTCATTGTATGGCCCTGCACAGTAATTTGTAACTAGTTTTCAGGTTAAACATTTAAGTTGTTTCCAGGTTTTCTATCACAATGTTTCAATGAGTGTCCTGTACATACTTTGTTAGGTGCTCATGTGTAAAATTATCTAAACAATATATTTCTAGAAGTGGAATTACTGGGTAAAAGGATATGTGTGCATTTAAAATTTTCAGATGTGTATCCAAATCACCACCCCTTTGAGGGGGTTGTACTAACTTATCCTGTCCCCCACAAATGTGAGTGGGAGTCAACAGATCTTCGTCAGAGTATGCATCGGGATCTCCTTTTTCATCTATCGTATGCCTACTTTTCCCTTACCAAAGCTCCCCTACCCCCATGTGATCCTAGCCTATTTCTTTGAATTTACCAGGGAGACCTCGAGACCTGCAAGGATAAAGTGACTTGTGCAAGACAGTCAGTGTGGGTGGTTGTGGTTTTTTAAGCAGCTCTGATATTTGTATTTGCCCAGGGCCTTTCATTGAGGTGTCAGGATTGATTTGTAAACATTGTTATATTATTTTTCTCCACCTTCATATGGAAAAAAATGAAATGCAGGTGAAGTTTGAATTATAAGGAGGAAGCTGGCCAAATACAGAATCTTGTCTTTTTACTTATAGTGCAGTAACAAATGTATGTTCCCAAATGCTAAAGCTAAAGAAATGTTTTTTAGTGAGTCTGAGTAGCAACAACAAAAATATCAATAATGTAACACTAACAATAAAACTGAGCAGAAAACCCACAAATAACCCAACATTAAAATTTGATTTAATATGTTCTCTATAGAAAAGAGAATCCATTAAATGTAAAACTATATTTACTCTAAATTTACATCCATTTGTGTCACTGTATAGGAATAGAATTTTTGTAATTCAGTACATACAGAAGAAAATGATTTTTGTATTCCCGATAGCATCAAACATTTTATATTTAGTTATGTATCTTTATTTTAAATCACAGAGTAATAGTATTCATTGATGACTGTAGTTTGTGCAAATTTTATTTTTTCTTTCATTTTTTTTTTCTTTTTTATTGTTGTAAGTGGTACTTCTGACTGCCCTTGTTCAAATACTTCTTCTGGATTATTTTCTTGGTCTCTTACCCCTGAAGTGGGTTCACTGACTCAAGATATGGTTTCAGTGCCAAATGGCCTTCTAGAAAGGTTGAATTTACTTACAACATCATCAACAATTTATATGGCCCTGTTTTCTGATGATCGAGCCAATGCTATTACAAACAAAACCTAATATTTGGTTTTATTTATTTAAAATAAATATAATGGTACTTTGAATTAGGTTTAATTTACATCCTTTAGGAAGTGACCAGGAGCTTATTTAGACTTTGAAATAAGTGCATTGCAATAACACATATCATATCCAAGAGTTATATTGCTAAAGCCAACTTGTTTTTGAAGACATGATTAATGGGACAGAAATATTGTGGAAATTTAGGGTAAGATCGTATTGGTATGAAACACTAGACTAGATGCTCTTCATTTTGAAAATACCAGACATTGTGTCAGGAGCTGGGGATACCTCAGAGTAACATGGTCTGTCCATATGACACTTACAGGCCAAGGCAGTAGACAGATATTAATCACTACAGTAATTACAGATGGGATCAAAGGGGAAGAATAAGATGTCTTCGAAGAGCCAGAGAAGTTGAATATTAAACAATGTTTGCAGTTAAACAACACTTAACAAAGGATCTGAGCTGGGAAGGGATTTGGTACTTTAGGGCAGTGCTTCTCTAACTCAACTGTTCACATGAACCATCTGGGGATCTTGTTAAAATGCCAAGTCCTGATTCAGTAGGTCTGAGGTGGGACTTGGAATTCTGCATTACCAACCAGTGAGGCAGGTGCTACTGGAGGGTGGATTACACTTGGGGTAGCTTGATGAGCACTTAAAGCTAGATGACCATGGTGAGTAGGAGGGGCCAGTTCTCTACCCTGGCTGCACTTTGATTTCACCTGGAGAACTTGCAAAAATCAGGGATGCAAATACCCTACCCAAGTATTTTGACTTAATCGGTCTAGTGGGGACCCTGAGAAAGTGCATGTGTGTGTATACATATACACACATATGTACTCATGTACACATGTGTGTATATATATATGTATGTGTGTGTTTATATTTAATTTTTTTTTTAACGCTTCGGATCATGCTATGATACAGTCAGGGTTGAGAATCACTGGATTAGAGAGAGACAGGGGCGAAAGTTGAGGGCCCTTTACACCATGCAAGGATTTTGAACTTTATCCAGAAGAC